TTATTACATTTTTTACAAGCCTTCGTGACCCCCAATACTGTACTGCCTCAGTCCGAACCGAATTCAGACGTTTTGTCTCGAAAAATTCATCTTTAATGTATTCGTTCCAAAGGCTGAAATGAAATAAAAACGGATTTCCAAAATTTCGGCTTTTTCCAAATATTTCGAAAACTAATCAGGTTAGCCTTGATTTTTAGAGGCATAATGTTGGTCTCCTGATTACCCAACTTTGCCCCCATTTAAGCTACTTGGTATTTCTAACCGTTTCCGAGATCCCTGTAGTGAGAAGCGAATTTGTAACAGTTTGTATACAATAAATACTACACCTAAAATGTAATTTTACTAAGAAACAGAAAAATTATTAAGTGAAGGGTGCCCAGTGTGCCCAGAAGTAACGCAAAAAACTCGTATTTTATTTATAACGTATTTTATAACGCTAAATCTCAATGATATGAAACTCTATTGCATTCGCTAACTGTTGTCTTCAAAACAATTCCTAGACGCTGGCTATGATCGGTGAACCTACCCAATCTACATAAAAACATGTGCCTACAATCAACCAAAACACATTTTTTGCTGTGGTACGGTTCTCGCATCACTTTGTGATACCTACTTTTGTTGTTGTTTCAAACCATGTCCATTCCAATCGTTGGCTTTTTTTCGCATCTGTCAAAGTAAAGTAGGCCAAACCCTATATCTACGCATTTCCCTTCGAAAGGGCTATCCATTTATGCTTAAAAAATTAGGTAGTGCTATTTAAAAAATGTCGATGACGTCATAGGTTTATGGAACATATCGCAAAAAAGTTTTAAGCAACGTGCCAAAACGACAATTCTTATTTACTAATAATTGACGTGTTTTAGCGTTTTTGTGAAAAAGCAACATAAAATAAAATACGAATTTTTTGCGTTACTTCTGAAACGCACTGTATAATAAATTTTATATTTATTAATGCTCTAAATGGTACATATACTCTAGAGTAAAATATAAATTTTTGAATTATACCTAGAGATAAATAATATAGAATATTATTTATACCAATTAGTTAAACAGCTTTCTTAAAATAACAGTTCAGTAAAAAACAGTATTAGCCCAGTCATTATAGACATGCAAGACCCTGTTTCGGGAAAAAATACTATTAGAAGTTTCTCTGCGGTATGTTGTTCGAAAACCTGTTATAAATAAAATATCAAAAAATCAACTCGAGGCTAGTTGGGAAACTTTGTTTTAACAGTGGTCAAAGTTATGGAAAAGTGGTTTTTTGACTACGTAAAAAAGCTATTATTCATAGCGAAAAAAAGTTTATACAAAAAAGGTAAGTATTAAATAAGCCTATAAAATGAAAAAAGTTCGATTAAATTCCGATAATTTGTTTATGCACAAAAGCTCAAAAATGGTCAAAAATTGCCGTTTTTTTAATTGCTAATAATAATTAATGCAATATTCGTGGCAGACACTTGTAATTCAGGATTTTTGAGGCTTTTTACACCCTTAATAAGTGGTAAAAATTTCAGCTCGAAAGCTTCATTGGTTTGGCGTTGGCGGAATTTGTTATCTAAGAAGATGCTATTTTCAATTTATTTTTCCCAAGCTCACAGGCGTTGTAGGGTTTTGATCATTAGTTGTTTTTGTACCTAAATAGTTGTATTGACATAGGCATTTACTGAGAATTTAGTTTTTCCAATTTAATTTGTTTAAAATTGACTTTGAAAAAATGTTAATATTTATTAAATTGTTAAGATAGGTAATTATTATAAAATAAAATAGTAACCTCTTTACTTTAGTTTTCTTCGAATTTAAAAAAAAATCGTTGTTGTAAGTTGATTAGAAGCTGAGATAATTTTTTTTATTTATTTAATCGCAGTAATTATTAATATTAAGAGCCGAAATTTGGAGAGAGTGTACATTAAGAGCTATATTTTCTTGTCCTACATTAACATTAAGGTGAATCGAAAAAGAAGATAGCGGCGATGCGTTCTATTACTTGGTCTAGCGAACGAGTGGGGAAGGCGAGGCTTAGCATGCGCGCTTAACGATGTAATAAATATTAACATTTTTTCAAAGTCATTTTTAAACAAATTAAATTTGAAAAATTAAATTATCAGTAAATGCATATGTCAATACAACTATTTAGGTACAAAAACAACTAATGATCGAAACCCTACAACGCCTGTGAGCTTGGGAAAAATGAATTGAAAATAGCATCTTCTTAGATAACAAATTCCGCCAACGCCAAGCTAATGAAGTTTTTGGGCTGAAATTTTTACCACTTATTAAGGGTGCAAAAAGCTTCAAAAATCCTGAATTACAAGTGTCTGCGATGAAAATTGCATTAATTATTAGCAATTGAAAAAAGCGGACAATTTCGACCATTTTTGAGCTCTTGCGCATAAACAAATTATCGGAATTTAATCGGACTTGTCTTATTTTACAGATTTATTTAATACCTACCTTTTTTGTATAAACCTTTTTTTCTCTATGAATAACAGTTTTTTTACGCCAGTCGAAAAACTACTTTTCCATAATTTTGACCATTGTTTTAACAAAGTTTCCCAACTAGTCTCGAGTTGATTTTTTGATATTTTGTTTATAACACGTTTCTGAACAATATTCCGCAGAGAAACTTCTAATAGTATTTTTCCCCGAAAAAAAGCTGTAATGATTGGCCTATATAGCAGGTTTAAATCTAGAAATGAACTACCAAATACGTTTTCATACTCTCGAAAACCTATAAAGCTTGAATTAATTTCAGACTTCTACGATGAGGACTAATTAAATAAACAACATGTTCTTATCTAAAACAAATGAGATACATTTTCTTCGATAAAATTAACTTCTAATTTAAAGGATTAAATAAAAGGAAAAACGTTCTTCATTTATTTTCTGGGAAAAGTTTTACTGCGGTTTTCATTTATATGAAAACTTTCTATGGATGAAAATTTTTCCCTAGTTCTCGCGTCCAAGTAGCAAAATTCAGTAATTTTTAAACGCACAAGTACAAAACAAACTACAACATATGTTCAAAATGTTCAGCACCATTTTCGATGCACGCACGACACCTTCCAATCCAATTTTCGCGCACTCGCTGGAAACCACCTCAAGAAAAGGAAACAATGGTACGCAAAAAACACTCAGACACGGTCCAATTCCAGATACCAACTGAATTGCGTATTGCTGGGCAGCTTAATCCCAATTTTATCGAATTTTAAGTTTATTACAACGTTAATTATTTTTTAGAATTAAGCATAAAGAAGTTCAAAAAAGTGATATACATTGTAAGTAATTTATGGTATTCTATTCGGTTTTGATGCATTTTGAATTTTTGTGTGAAGCTATTTAGATCAAATAGTTCTTCCTAACGTCACATGTCTTCATAATCCTAGGTAAGAGTTATACGAGATACTGCATATGTACTACTGACAAATTTCTCTTGAGCTCTCAAATGCTCAAATAACAAAGAAATCACACGTTATGTAGAATGAAATCGAAATGCAGGCAGCAGGCAACACGTAGTAATGGTCCTTTGCCACCGCGCATCCTACCCTCAGGACCCAAATGAATTTGGTCTACTTGTACGTGATATTTGTCCACTATACTGGCAAATTTAACACCATCCTATTTTTTGTCAGATCAAAGAAACGCTTCATTAAAATATGAACCCGTTATGAAAACAAAAATGTTTATGTTACAATTATTTTTTATTGAATCAATATTTGAAACGTTTATACTAAGCTTATAATAAAATTGCAATGGATACAATAGCCAAAGTCGAATGGGTTTTATTATTTCGCATACCTTAGCTATTTCAGTAGCCGCGATATTTATTTCTCTGTCAACATTTTTAAGAAAAAAAAAAGTAGCTGATAAAAAATAAAACGTGGTATATTTATCGTTATTTATCACTCGTGTGAGATAACTTGTAAATGTAGTCTAGACACTACGTTTTAAGTGTTTTTGTAAAATATATTTATTACATAGATTTCGGGTGAACTGCAGTGGAATAACTGATTTAAATGAGTAGTTTTCTAGAAGGATTTTATCGCTGGAGAATCTGTAAACACAACTCTTGCCAGCAATTTGTAATAGGTTCTAGGTACTTGTTTATTCCACAGAGAAATTAATACTACTTTTCTCTTTCCGCATTGCAAATGTAAAGAATAAACAAGTATATGACATAAATATAAGCTTCTCCCTTTCGGCAAATATAAAAGCCATATTTGGCGTTTTAAAACTGAAAATATAATGCAATCCCAAATAACTTTCCTGTATTCTTTATGTCATAGTAGTAAACATAAACTTTAACGAAATAAATTGATAACATTCTCTAGTAGAATCTGGTTATTTTTTTACTTTGCTCGTGTTCCAGAAATAAATTATCTCGTGTGTAAAAGTATATCAGACCACTTTTACCATAAAATTTGAGGTAAACAATTCTTGGAAAAAAAAACTTAAAACTTGTTAATTAAATTTGGGAATAAAGTTTGTTTTGACTGTGCATAGTTATTGAAAGTACTTAGAAATTCAGAATGAGATTTACAAATATTTTCATCGCAGTTGCATTAAGTCTTCAGTTAATGTAATTAAAAGTGTTCAAGTGTTCATTAAAAGTATTTCATCATTTTTTATATGGAACTTCTAGATTTATCAACGTAAAAACATTTTAAAGTGCGAGAATGAAATACCTATACATATACATAAATACAACTTTATAGCCTTTGATAAGCAGAAACAAAGTAATAAAGTTGTTTAGGGAATCGCCTTTTAAAAATATACATCACTGTTGACATAGATTTAATTAAACTCGAAAATATTGACTCGTCAATGAGTTTTCAAGATTTATTGGTATAATATGATGATTATTTTGCTTAAAATTAACATACATACTTACTTGATATTACTGAGACTGTCACAAGTTGGTGTTGTGTAAAGTTGGTGCGTATATCTACGTTTCAAATGATTTTATTTTTTTTCTTGTGTGAGTAATAAATAAAACACTGTAATTAAATATATAAACTTTATGCAACATAAATATGTTTTCGCATTTTACATACAAAAAACATCAATTCTGTATCACAGCCAGTTTTAGCACACACAATATTATTAAATATTTGGTCTACTAAATATACAATTACCTACAAATAGGATTTAAAAAATAAAACGATAAACACAAAACTTGCCATGCAAGATAAAACCTTGCATGTTCGCAATTTAACTTTCTTTAATGGAAAAGACAGTTTTGTGTTTATTTTTTAACATTATCATTAAATATATATTGTTAACATACATATCGAAAAGGGTATAAAAATTATTATCTAACTTATATAATAATTGCATTTTGTCAAAACAACTGTTTTATTGCATCATATTGAAAGGATGTTTTGGAATATGATGACGTCACTTCCCGATCTTTTAAATTAAAGATAGGATGTTTTCCATTAGAGTATAGAAATATTTACTTGAATAATTTAAAATTTTACTTTGTGAAAGAGTAATTTTTTTATCTTAACATAAACAGTTAAACTGATCCAAAGTAAATAGAGCAAGTTTTGAAAAAAATCGTAAAATTTCCTTTTCTTAGATGTTCCTAAATTTATTCGAAATATCTAACAAACCATTCCCCTGGGGAAAATGTACAGCGTGTTTCATATATCACATGACTCGTATGATAGTGAAGTCCTCAAAAATCTTATCTTATGTACAATAATATCCTCATCATCTCTCATAAAACTGAGAAACTCAATAATTCCAAATTTATAAAATTCCCACTGTCTCCCGACAGTCTAAATTCTTCCAAATTCAGCGAGCGTCCAGCTCCTCCTTGGCCGATAGTCAAAGGGACGCGGTCGCGGTGAAGTTCTGCCTCCTCCTAAGCACTCTGGATTTGTACAAGTCGGACTTGTGGCAGACGACCACCGTACCGCCCTGATTCGTGTTCGGTATTACTTTGCTGTTCGCGTTGCCGATCAGCGTTCCTATCATCTTCGAGACGGAGAATTTCCGGGTCTTCTGCGTCGACTGCACCGACCGGCATTCGTTCAGGATCATGTCGAAGGCAGTGTAGATGGCGGGGGAGTTTTCTGCCACCGACACTTCGTAGAATTGACAGTTGTTCTGGATGGCTACGGTGCGACCTTCCACTTCCTCGATCTGCAAACAAAAAGAAAACGTTTAGATGAAGTCACAAGAGCTACCTATTTAAGATTTGTTTGAATTAGCTTTTCGTTAGCGTCGCGTTCCTCAATTCATTATCATTATTTATTTTTTGCTCACTAATTTGCAAATAACTTGATAACAAAAAATATATCGAACTCTTTTTGGCGTCAAAATGTAGCTATTTTTATGCTCTTTAAACTAACCTATAAAATGACATTACGCATTCATCACGAGATAAAACGTGAAAAGACCTTTCCAACGAGGTAAACACTATGGGCTTTTGATGAACCAATCTTTAAAAAAAATACATTTTTCTGATCAGACTTTAGGGGCTTCCCCCACCCTTTCTGTTGAGAGATAGAACAAATTGTCAATAACAAAAGTTGTGCGCAATAAATCCGACTATCCATATTTGTACTATTTAATATACCTGAATCGAACAGGAAACATTTCTGAGAAAAATTCAACTGTATGTTTTGGTATGTAGATTGCGCCCCCTAGCGGCCGAGCTACGAACTTGAAAATTATTTCCAACGATTTCTCTTGATCGATTTATTCATAAAAAAATTTTTCCCGAAGCTCTAGGTCCCATAATTTCTCTAATATCGTACCTGGCCGAACTTAGTGAGACACCCTGTACAACCAAATCATATAAGGCATTGTCTCATCCCCCTATGTCTGCAGTGTTCAAATGAAACCCTTGAAATATTAAGACAATAGAGCGAAACTCTTTCTTTGAATGCTATCGACGTTTCTTGGCGGTCGGAATTGCCCCTTGTTCGTTTACTTCAGACTTGTTTGTGAATTACAATGTCAATATTGAACAAAAGGTGGTAACGTAACGTTTGAATAGGTTTATTTTAGTAACCCGTCTTGGATTATTTGAAACATTGGACCATTTAAGTTGCTGCTTTACATTCGGTTACTACAAAGGTATGAATGAGCTATCAACTATATTTAATTGTTAACGTTAACATTTTGCTTACGCCTCCCTCTCCCTGGTGTACGCCTCTGTTCATAGGTATACGCTTCATTTTTATATTTTTTGTTTAAAAATATCTTGTTTAATGCTTGAAGGTGTGGAATAAATTAACCGACTGAAATGTTGCACTATTTTTAACATTTTCTAATCGTGCCATGTGCAATTCATACAGAACCCCCTAAAAATAGAACTATGCATAATTATTTACTTGCTAATGTAAATCTCGGGAATGTAACATTTACATTACGAATGTACGCCGCATTCCCCGGCAAAAATCCACAGAGGAATCCTCGGTTACCTAACCGCCTATTTCAGCCTGGAACTCCTCTATTTGGGATTCCGAAGCAACGCTATAATTGCTCTTATATTTAGTCGAGCACTGACCTTAGAACGCAGAGTGAGTAATAGCCGAAGGAATTTTCCAGAGCGAATTCACTTTGGGCTTGTCGCTAAACACTTCCCTGAAAACATTTCCTTGCCAAGGTTAAGCGAAGAAAACGATTGAAGGTCGAGCATTGACATTCGATGACCTGACGCGGAATCGGTATCTCGAATTAGATCAGTAAACAAAGATTGAATATATCACATTTTTAAGCGTCACTTGCACTGACCTACATCAACTATTTACAAAAAAATATCAGAATCGGGGTCTTTTGAACTCGTCGAATGTTTCGCAATCAATCTACCTTTCCCGAAACGCAGCCTCTTAAACGGTCCAATATAAACAGAATTATTAATGAAATGTGCGGTTTGGTAACCCACTTTGAGAAAAATTATGGTTGGGACACGATTAAGTGTTTTGAAACGGTGTTCCAATTACGATTTGAATGTTCTCCAACATCTGTCGTTTGCCAGGGTTTCTTAATCTGATAAGATTTATCTAGCTGCATTGTTTTTCATATTGGACAACGCATTTGGGAAATCCAGGTGAAACTACACAAGATCGGAGGTCTATATGTTAGCTTCGTAGAGAAAGACAGTAAAGTAGTAAATAACTTTGGAACTAACAACGGGGCATCTTTAAAATGGACTAGTTCTTCTGACGAGTCATTTGTGGTCATGTTATCCAAGATTTTTGAGGTTACCATGAAACTATTTTATATTGGCGGTGTAGAGATTTGTTTACTACCACCAGTGTATCAAAGAAAGTAAATATTCTATGAAAGAAGAAAACAAAATACAGCCTAAAGATCGTCATTGTTTTGTTGACGAAGAAGGTAAAAGACATTCCAAACATGTGTTGGATCTGTTTAACGAAGATGGCTTTCTGGATTTAGAACCTTTTCTCCATAATACAGTTAATTTTATTTGTTTCCTTAATAATCTTTTGTCTTGTTTCCAATTTTCATTAAAAGAAGACGATATTCTGCATATCAACACTGGGTCATTTTTTTAATGAACTATAATGACTTAAAGGTGAGTATGACTTCAACTGTGGCAGATACACCATAACAACAACAATACCAACTGTTTAATGATTCTAAATGGAATTAAACGCAGCCTACCTGTCTGAGGTGCTCGAGATCGGCCTTATTTCCTAGTAGCACCGTAGGCATTTGGTTCCTCAATTGCAATACTCTCTGAAGCATGTCGGTGGCTTGGGTGAAGGACCCTCTGCAAGTGATGTCGTAGACCACGACGCAAGCGTCGGCCCAGTAGATGGCCTCTTCTGGGAACGTCTTGATGTCGCAGCTGCAGACGTCGACAATTTCGACTTCCAAGGCAGAGTTGTTGACGTTGAGTGTTTGACGATATAGAAGATCTGGAAAAAATAATATCAATTTTATTCAAAATTCATATGGAGCATATACATTTGACAAATTTACTTTATTTTAGACACTAGTAGTACAAGATAGACAAGCGTTCATATGAAATGGAAGAAAATATAAAAACTGGAAGAAAATATGTATTATAAATTTTGTAAATATTTTTCATTGAAAACAGGAATGACTGGTATGTAATAAACAAAGAAGGAATAGTCTTATTTGTTAGTCACTGTTCTTCTCCCAATTACAATAGAAATTGTTTATAAACTCCAATATAACTTGTTACTGTAGTTATATCCTCGTAAATTTTATTTTTAAAAACTACGACAATAAAAAAAATGATGGAAATAATAATAATAATAGCAGTAATAAAAAGACTATAAATGCGATTTAATATTAATCTTGTTATCCTCTTAACCTAATAGAATCTAGACAGAAGTGAAAAGAATAACAGAAAGAACAAAAGCATCTGAAAATGACACTGGAGCATACCTCTTTTAATTCTCCTATATTCACATACATGAAAAAGTTACAAATTTGGAACTTTTGCTATTATTCTGCATTCATCATCTGACTGGGTAAATCCCCAATTTAATATGAAACTTTTAACCCCGAAGAAATTGGGTTCAGGAACCTACAAACGAAGGAAGGTCTCCCCTTTCCAGAGACGCTTTTTTAATAAAACTTTTTCAATCGCAGAACGTAGTTTGAAAGAAAAATCGAGGATGTGTCTGTTAAGGGGCATTTAATGTGAATTAGAAGTATTTTTTGAGACAGTCTCCAATTAAATTTGATACGGTCGAGAGTTATGAAAGTCACTTTTAATATTTTTCGACAGTGAAAAAGGGATGAACTTCGTCAGAAGTGTGTATTATGCTAAAGAGTTTTCGGATGCCGTAATTTATTTGTATGTTGACCCCAAAAGTTTGAACCTGAAAGTTATAGAGCCGTAATTTAATTTTCTTCAGACATCAAGTAATTAGAAAGTTTGGCGAAAGGTTACGGAGAACCGTGAGGAGCAGCGATTTGCGGATAAACGTACATTTAGGATATTAATTTGGAAACCGCACGTAGAATATCGCTGAAAGAAGTCATAAATTTAATTAAATCAGAGCCATGTGCTATACAAAGCCCCCGGGGAAGGAGGGATGAATTTTATATGGATACTTCCTTATTGAAACAGCCGTTATATATACAATCTACATTTCCGCGTATATTAATTAAATTAAAAAGTTACCACTAAATATTCGTTAAAATGTTAAACAAAAAAAAAACACTTCGTTTCCTTCAATATTTGTTCATCCCATATTTCTTGAACTGGATTTTAATTTTCTTCTATATCTATTAGTCAAAGTCAAGTTTTTAGCGTTAAACTAAACTAATTTAACTCACTCTTTATGGCAAGTCTGTGAGTATGTACTTGTTTGTATTATTTAGAACATTTTGCCACTATTGCTGTCATTTTCTCAAAAAAATATGTATCAAAAAAAAATAATAGTGAAAAACCAAGAACCTGTTCCAGAGATGATCCTTGATGACCTCTATGTTTTAAGTAAAAAGTAAGTACCGTTGACTACCCCAGAAATCTCCCATACCAAATATCATTGACATAACTTAAAAAATTTTTCGAAGATCCGTAACTTTTTAAGAAAGCAAAATTGTATAAAAGCAACTTGATCTAAATAGTTTAATTTTATGTATTAATTGTCAGTAAAGAAATAAAAATGATCAAATTTATAAAAAAAATTTCAAAAAATTAAATATTAAATACCTTATAAATCTACATTATTGGAACAGATATTGTTAATGACAATATAAAATTAGATAAAAGTAGGTCACAAGTCGAAAAACCGAGCAAAATCAAATTTTATGTGGGTCGTTTTGCCGAAATTTGATATTTACTGCCACGTGCCCACTATTACCCTATTTTCCAGCTTTACGACTTATTATCTTTCCCGATGTTCCAGTTATATTCCTTTTTCATGCTCCAGCTATAAATACGGATTTAATAAGGATAACTATCATCCTTGTTATTATTCCTCAAGTCAGACTCGAACTGTTTTTTGATATGTCAGGAAAATAATTAGAAGTGCTTCCCACATTTACCACAACACGAGGAGGAAGGCATTTCAACATGTTTTCAGTTATGATTTGATCCAATTACAAAGAAGCAATTACAGAAATTGTGGAAATGTAGAATTGAACAATTTAAATGACCCTAGTATTCTATTCAACACACGAGTGTATTATGTGTTGCCTAAACACTTTAATACTGTTTCTTGTACGTCTATATTCCCAAACACATTTTATTTACATAGTTTTAACTACTTGATATACTTGTTATATGAAAATATGTCACTTAGTTTACATTGTAGCCGAGGATAAATGCCGTAACCTTGCTTCTCCTTAATCCCGCGCCTAAATTTAAAGAAATTATCCGTGTTTTATAAATCGTGGCATGTTGTTATCAATATTGCGTTACGAAATTAATTTTCCAGGCGACTGCCAAAAATTTCCATCTGAAATACGGAAGTTGACAGCAAAAATGCGAAACACTTAAATGCTGCTTTTATAATATATTTCAAAATCTACACAGTAAATAACTTGTTCTCGCGACAGTCATTAGCGACATTCTATTAATAACTGCTCAGACGAGCGCTAAGATACAGTGGCCACGGAATTACAGACTTGCATACTTTGAATACTTACTATTTGTCGTACTCTGAAGCTCATTTTAGTCATGATTAGGAACTATGTTAAGAATGTGCATATATCGGAAACTGTATTGAAGAACCTTACATTCTGAATATGACTGAGTAATCAACCATATGAGAGTGTTTAGATGAAAATTTTCCTTTCCTTTTGAATGTGTATCAAAAAAATGGGACATAAAGACATGATTCTTTAGCTGAATCTGATTTTCCGACAAACCTAACAAAGACAACATAGACATTTTCAAGTCTTCTATATACATAATTATCTGGAGAGATATGGAGGTGTTCTTGAAAATCAAATATAAAGGTGCTTATTAAAACCTGCTGCTATTTGTCTTTTTTCTGGAGCTGCTGCCTACGTCGACGGCTTTTTTTACTCAGACCCAGACACAACTTTATCTCATTAGCCCAGTTTGGAAACATTCCTCATCTCTCGTTAAAAAAATCTTCTTATTAATTTTTGTCAAAATAAGTCTGGGCCATAGAAATTTAATAAAGTTAGGTCTCATCGTATGAACTCAAGTAACAGATCAATCGACGCTGGCTAAAAAAAAGTTTCAGATATATGTGGCCTTATTTTTTTAATGAGAAAAGATTGTGTGAATATTTCAAACAAACTACGAAATTTTTCGTTTAAACAGCTTATGTTAGGAAATGTTTAAAAAATAACAATATGTCTGGAATATGAGAAGCAGCCAGTGTCGTCCCAAGAAATTTTTAAATGGACGAATACAATCAGTGTTTTTATAAAAAGTATGAATCTTTCCATGAAGTGCATTCTAGCAAAGGTAAAATTGAAAGGAAACAATGATTTGCAGCTAGTTTCAATTTTTTACATTATTCGCTGCCTAATTTTGGATCAAACCCTAAGCCGACACTCATGTAAACAATGTAAACTGATGTGATCTGGTCAATAAAAGAATTTAACGTTGTGCCAAGACGAATTTAAGCAACACACAAAATAAACTGGTCGAAAAACAAATTGCTCCCACGTTCGTAAATGAAAGACTTGTAAAGCACGTAACGTCTCTAATTTACTGAGTATATACATGCACCTCAAACAGGTTTTTCTTTTCAAATTATTCTTTTTAGATAACTTTGATCGAAACAGTTTCTTATCAAGAAATATTCCATACTACATCGTAACGCCTCAACACCTGCCAGAAAAAATGTATCATGTGGCGTGCGCTAAATAAATAATTTTTGTCGAATTTCATCGCTTGTTTCCCACATAAATATTTAGGTCAGAAATTAAATGCCAAATCAATTTGAGTAAAGATGATTTTGATATATTAACATTGTCAACGCTTTCATTTCGTACCTCGGCGTATGGAAGCTATTACAAACGAGAAATTAAAAAGTATTATGAAAGTATAGTTCTACTAGTTTTACTTTGTCAGAAATATGCATCACACTATTGATCTACCTGTACACTGTGGCATCTCCACTGTTCTAATTTAAAAGGGGCAGGTATCCAAGCTTTGCTAGGATGTACATGCATGCTCCTAAGTGAACCAGGTCGAATAAATATAGGTTCTTGTCATTAATTACATAAATTTCCTTCTGGAAGACAGCTTAATAAAATATATGAAGCTATTTCGAAGATTAACGATTTTAAGTTCTTTAGAATTTAGAATGACTGAAAGAATCGAAGGGGCACTGTAGTTTATAACTGTTCTGATCTAGGTCTAGGTAATTTTACACTAACAAGTCACTTTAAAATGAAATTACTCTGCGTTGATTTATGAGCTTATGCATGACATTTCATTAAAATACTTTACTGAATATTATTCAATACATGTCAAAGAGGTTATTTTTAACCAATTTGAAAGGTAAAATACTCTTCATTATTTCCAAAATATAGGGTGTCTCAAAAGTAACGCAGGATTTGAATTGATTTTCATTCCGAAGAATTGGTAGCATTGTTAAGGGTTACATGTTGTAGTAGACACGATGCTGTTAGACAAAATGGAGCGCTGTACGATGAATGAGCGAAGATTGTGAAAATTCATTTCAAATACGGAGAGTGTGTAGCTGAGACTGTGCTCAAAATAGTGGAATTTTTGGTAGTAGGAACGCCCCAAAAGAAACTGGAAAGGTTAGTTGCCAAATTTGAACAAACAGGTTCGGTTGAAAACAATAAAAAGACAGGTCGATCTCGTACTGGTGATCTTTTTTGAAACTGAGGCTGAAATCCCAGTGACTGTCAATGGAGAACGATATCGAAAGATGCTATTGAACTTCTTGTTTCCTCATTTGGATGGCATGTGGTTCCAGCAGGATGATGCCGCCTGCCATACGCTACATAATGACAGATATTTAATAGACGACTCATCTCACGTAATAGTGAAGTAACTTGGCCACCAAGATCATGCGATCTTACGCCATGCAACTTTTTCATGTGGGGATTCGTAAAGTCCAAAGTTTATTCTGCTCAAATGAATGCCATTCCTGATTGAAGGCAGAAATTCGAAGAGTTATCAACGAAATTCAGCAACAGGTATGCAAAAGCGTTATACAGATTTTTCTTTAAAGAAGTCGAGTATAGCAAATGGGTCGCAGAGGACATCTGTCTGATATCCTCTATCATATTTAATGGCAACTTTTTAATTAATAAAACCTTTTTGCTCATATGAAATCCTGCCTTTCTTTTGAGATAGCCTTTAGAAGGAATCTAAATCAAGATGTAACAGATTTAGTAAAAATTTTGACCGTTCTTAAGTGAATCATGTAGCTCTGTTAATCACGACTTGCAAAATGAGTGATCGATGACGAATGCCCTGTGAATGCCTGTTGCATCACACGTACAAAATAAGATTATTAAAAATCATGTTGGTTAAACAAAAAGCTGCCAAAGGACGCATAGGAATCAATGAACTGCAGTGAGTAAGTGAACCCGCATGTGTGGGCTGGAGAGCCTTCAGAAACAATTTAGGGAGGTCGACTATTTTAACAGAAAATAATAATCTTCCTGGATTCCACTGTCGAAGTAAATGAGGCTCCGTAACCCGTTAATTAGAATATGATTCAAGTTAGATGTCTGCCATTTGTCACGACGGCAAATTTCTCTACAAATTGATATTTCGGCTGGGGAATTTATTGGGATGCGTACAAAATGCACGGTTAGTGTTACTTAACGGAAAATTACTATTTTTAGATGGGAGATCGTGTTAGTTTATGTTTTCTCGAAATAAACAGTAAACCTCAGTGCGACCGAATGATTAAGTCTAAATTATTTGGGAACTGTCGAAAATCCGTGCTGGAAACCGTAACTACTGTACCGACTGTAACGTAAAATTTAAAATATAGGTTTCTTGTACCGAATACTAACATTCCGTCCTGATGCGGGGTTGAAATTTTTGGTGTGAAACATGAAACTAACTGACAATAAAAACTAAAACACTTTATTTCACGTTGCTGAAGTTAATAATATGGCCTTACTTGAATTAGGAAAATATAGTAGTAGTGAATCACCATTAAACTTATTCAATGACTAAGGCTTTTACTAAACAATTTTTTTAATATTTGTAAATAAATATTGATTATTGATGTGTTTTTAAGAAAGAAAATATTCGTGAAACGTATACCTCGATCTAAATCGTCTAAATGGAACAAAAAAGAATTGTGATTGATAATATGCATGTTGTGTAACTTATATTTTATTAGAAGTCGTTCAAACACAGTTATGTAAGTACTGACGAGTTTATTTTCACTGTCAACAAATATGTAATAAACAAAATATACTACAAGAATGATAATAACTATATGAGCTAAAAGAAATTATTTATTCGTGCCTTTCTATAGCCATTCATTCATCTTTATTCTGCATGTTCGTCACTTGTAGATACAATCAACATTTACATAATTTTATTTGTACTATACAGGTCTTGCAAATAACCAGAGAATACTTTTTCAAATTTCAAATATAATATTCCTTACTATTTGACTTGGTTCTTATCCCCCAAAAAATGTTAAAACTGTCAACTTTTCCCAATTTTTGACCCAATAAATTGATCAAAAAATTGGTCAGCTTATATTGTATATGCACATGTAATAAGCAGAAAAGCGCCTAAATTTTCTATTTTCAATAAATTGAAGGCGATAGAACTGTTCTAATTTATTTGCCAATACGTTTTGATCAGGTTTAGTAATTTTTAATATTTATTTAATTATAAATTCCAATTGTTACGACTCTAACATTTCTTTCAATTTAAAACTCAATTCAATATCTTTAAATTTGATTAAAAAATTGGGCAATATATTGTAGTTGTTGAACAATTCGTCAAAGATGGGGAATTATCAACAATCACGTATTCCTACCTACATTTACGTATGGCAAATGTATTGATTTTATGTACTTATTTTTGCTATAACAGAAGATTACTAACGCTGACGCGATTTGGCTGCTTTTCACAGCAATAAATTCGTATGTTCCTCATATTGCTCATTGATTTTAAATAGAGTTAATATACTAGTGCGAACTTTACCAAATATTATAGTATATAATTGAAGAATCCGCAGCCATTTTCAAAATAATTCGTAATATAAGTATAATTAACTCAAATAACGTCATATATTCCGGCTTATGCCAATTTTTGCACTCTGCACTATACTCATTGTAAATGCGTACTTTTGTGGAAACCAAGCTGGCTGATCAAAAAATTAAAAAATGTAAATTGAATTACAAATTACAAAGTTTCGAATCAAAACAGCTCGTAAAAATATTTGCAATAAAAATGACCGGATGTTTATTGAAAGTTATACAGCTGTTAATAGAGTAGCGATAAAAGTCAATTAATCCTCCAAAATACTTTTCAGTATTACAATGGAATTCCAGCGCTGGTGAAAATGAAGGAAACCATTTCTGGAAGTGCTACAATACCAAACAAATGAGCTCAATGTTCGAATCCGTGCTAACGCTGCCATTCATTTTTTAAAAATAACGCCCGCGAATGACGTACGTAGATCTCACAATTTTGGGTACATTCATATGTGAAGTACATTGTTTACTACTACTGAAATTGTACGGATATTCATACGCAAAATGATATTGGCAGCTATGTTGTGACGATCGGAAGTCTAGCTTATGTTAAACTTCGATGCAATAATGAAAATATCACATTTTTTTTAAATTTAAAGAATTAGGTACACAAAAATATAATAATAATAATAATAATAATAATAATAATAATAATAATATCTCTACTCCTCATTCTAACTACGAGAATTAGCCCAGAAGTCAATGACGTGCGGGAGAGGAGGCGGCATATTATTATTAAGCAGGCCGTATTTGCGCCCAGGAACGACTTATGTTGGTAGGCCCTAACCACCATTCAGTGCAGGAATGAGGGAAACCTGGAAAACCTCATTAATTAGGGGGGTGGTCAAATGCCAACCGGTGTCAATCTCTCACATTGACCCAAGCCAACATTCTTCCACCCTACCATACCTGCACAGAGGGTGCCAATCCTCCGTACAAGCATAGCTAATCTACGGTCTACCGGCCGCAGGATTCGAAACCCGGGCAGATAGCACACATCGATTCAAGTACTGACGCCTTAAACCGTGCGGCTATCAACCGATAAATGTCACTAATAAATGTCAATGTCAATGTAATGTCACTAATAAATCATAAAGGTAAATTGTTTTCGGAGAATATTACTTTGCTAGTGATTTTTGCTAAAAAAATGTCAAATATTGTACACAAAAGCAATTACATGGTCTATATCTATAAAGGTTAACACTTTTTTAAATATGTTGAGATTTCTCAAAATTTTGGGAAAGACAAAGCTTTTTGTTTTCCACTTTATTTATTTTTAATTTACATTTTTTACTTAAAAGAATATAAACAATACCTACATTTTTCATTTTTACGAAAGCTTATTTAAGTATTTGAAAATTTTATTCTAAAATTAAATTTATTTTTATTTCTCATTGGGTACAAATACAGATAAATTGTATTATAAAAAAACTTCCATTGTTTTCGATTTCAAAAATAACAAAACTTTTCTGTGACCAAGGATTAGACAATTTAGCTCTTTTGAAGAAAAAACGTATAACAAGATATTCGATTGATATATTTTTCGAACCTTGGAAAATTTTCTACGTGAAAGTTATTCTTTTTGCACGGCGATAAATTTAGAACGAATATTGGCCCGGTTAAAGAGAGTAGAATTACGTAGTCAATTTTTTTGGACCGTAATTATATTAGCTGTTTGCGCGACAGCTCTAGCAGACTGGAAAATATTAAAAATAAAAAGCTGTCGCTAGCGAGGCAGCAGCTCGGATATCTTTAAATGAATTTTTGCATCTTACGTGTATTCAGCAATAGCAAAAAATTATCTAATATCTATGGTCTCTTGCGTTTTGTAAAATAAAATGTATAGTTATGATGATTTATGTACATTTTTTAATATTTCAATATTGTCCTTGACTAGGTATACGCTTTCCATAGTATAGCACTCATTTAAAAAAATGTTTCCCGATATAAACTATTTGCTCACACATGGAGGCTAAAACTACGAAAAATATTTATGTTGATAACATTATTTATAAAGCGAGCTTTAATAAATACCAAATGGCATTGATGCGTCTTATCAACATTAAATAGTGGATAATGGAATTTGGAATACCCTTCGAAGTCAACAACAAAAAAATATGCGCAACTCATTATTTCAGGTTATAAAAAGTTGTTTTGTCAGATACAAGATCCTGTTTACCAGAATTCATCACAGGCTTCGATAATATTCCCGATTATAATAAAACTTTTCCTGTCAATTCCAGAAGACATGTTTCGTAGAGGCGTAAATACACGTAATGATGCCTGGAAAATGTCGGATTTAATAAATATGTTTATTACATTTGAAATTAATTCTATACACTATTTGATTGTATAAATAAATTTTCCCTTGCAGTTTTTTTTTCATGTTAGAAAACTCGTCTATTTAGTACACAACCTAAAAAGTGTCTTCGAACGCAATATTGTGATTACATGCTTATTTTTTTACTGACACATCTATTTTTTTATTCTATTCTCACCTGTATTACTCCTGTATTCTCCAATAAAACGTCGGGTCAGATAGCGAACAGTCAAAGCTGAAAATAAAAATAAAATAATTAATAATAAATTAGTGACATCCGAGTACAAAGAATGTGATTTAAGATTTAAAAAAGTCTGTTTCTCCCAATAATACAGGGTGATTTAGTCATAATGTCTTTAATTTCAACCACGTATTCGGAAGGCCTAATAAAGACAGAAAACCGAAAAAGAAATTACCGAATAATACGATAGGTCAAGATTCACTCTCGATAAACCTTTGTGGGTCAGCGGTCGAAAAAGGGGTTTATAACACATCGAAACCGGTTGTCTTTTCTAAACGAGGATTGTGAGAAATGAAAACTTTTATAAATATTAAAACAAATCAAATAAATGTACCAAATAACTGTAATTTAATGTTATTGTTGACAATAATTTTGAAACTGACGTAAATATCAAAACATCAAGGGTTTATTTACTGGGTACTGAATAACATACAATTTATTTGTGATATGCATCAAGGATTCTAATCAAATGTGGTAAATAAATAACACTTCTATCAGACAATTTGCTGTAGTTATATGTTTGACGCATGTTTAAATCAGGAATTAGGTTAAGGGTAGATAAGTACCATCAAACGGTTTGATTTATATTACTCGACGCAATTCATCAAAACACTGCATTTAGATATAAACAGACGCAATATTAACCATGCTGATCACTATCGTGAAAGGTGATGTGAAGAATTCTAGTCAAAATATAAATAGAAAGGTAACAATAACATCAGTGGCGATTGCAATAAATCTGGACGATGTTATTGGCTCTAGAAATTTAAGGAGTATATTTTTGGTGCAACTTTAATTATAACGTCCTTGTGTTACTGTCAAAGTAATGAGTAGCTTGTTTTGTTTTATGTAATGGCGTGAATGTGTAGGAAAATCGAAAAAATCTTAAGGAAAACATAGATTTTGTTCCCAAATGTTTGTTTTAAGTGAGTTATACATCCTTTCCACCTAGACAGAACGTTTTGTTTGTTTAACCCTTCATAACTTCATAATTCAACATAACTTCATAATTATTCAATATTTTACTGATACATTTTTTATTTTCAGTACCTAATACTTCTTTTAGCGTCTTAATATTTTGTACATTCCGCTTATTATAGAAACATAAAACATACATTATAAACATATTTATATTCCATCTTAGTGAATGCTTTCTAACAGTTACTTAAATTATTTATAAAATTCATTTCAGACAGTATTCAAATCCAAAAAGTTATTAGTTTTGTTACATTTTTTTCATATACGCACCTAATCTAAAAAAATATTAACTGGTATTCATTTTAGGCGTTATTTTAATTATAGTGTTATGCCGAACAAGCTAAAGAAAGCAAATACCATTTTCACCTATGTAGGAGTATCATAAATTCTCAAATATTAAACTACCTACCATAAAAACTAAGCCCTCAGATAGATTATATTTTTTTTATTTATGACGTGGTGAATATTCCGTGTTTATTATATAACAATTATTTGTACTGTGTGGATAGTAGGTACTATTGAAAAGAGCAAACATATAGGTCCCTTATAGATAAACCAAATATTATTCCTATATCTGGTCTTTTACAAGACCTACTACCACTAGCCTATTTCGTATTGAATGTTACTATCTTTAACGTTAGTATATGTACCTATAGTACGCCAAGAAAGAATATCCCATCGTTTTGTATGCTATACCTATCATTTTAAAATTAATTTATAAAAACTTGTTTTCAGCTCCTTATAATATTAATCGTAATAAGCTCAATAAATTCTTCTGATTCAGTCTTTGCCTAATGTAAGATTACCTCTAAAAACTAATCAAACAAATAAATGAAATTCTTAAAGTGTTCAAAACACGTCTCGGTCTCTCATCTCCCAAAGTTAAACTTTCGACAGTGGTGTTTACCAAGTCCCCATAAATCTATTTTTATTGGTTTAAAAAAGAACAGACAAGGGATACTCGTGGCTTTCTCTTTTAGAAATGCTCTGAGGTTTAAGGCAGTTCAAGGAAAATCTGAAATATGTCAGCCTTGAACGAAATCACTTGCTCTTACGGCCCACAGGAAACAAATTTAGTAGCAGTAAATGGCTGTTATATACGTATTTCGGTCTACCGATATTTTACCAATAGCAAAAGTTTTAATGACGAAATCTCTAATATTGACAATAATATTTTAATATTATTGCCAAAACTATTACTTAAGCATAATTTTTTTCTTACCTGACTTCCCCACATTTGACTTTCCGATGACTGCGATGCGAACTTTTGGCATATTATTCTTATCTTCGGTTTTCATTTTCTGGAAAAAAGAAAAATATTTATATAACGTAACTGGTACTATTAGTCAGTTCAAAATATAGATAGTGAGTAATTCTATTGCCTACATCTAGTACATCAGTGATCAGTGATAAAGCATCTGTTTCATCGGATAAATACAGTAATTTATACAAAACCTTATGAATGGGACAATACACATTTTATCAATTTGTGTATATTTTCTACTGGTTTCTATACGTGTATTTACACTTTCCAGATATCTCCGGAAGATTTTAGCAAACCTCAACTGGTTTCAATTTAAACAAATCTAAAGCAAACAACAATTAATTACGTACTAAAAATATTTATAGGTGTATTTTGCACCTTACTTTCTCTTTCTTTCATTGTTTAACTGGGGTAGTATAAATATATATATCTTTCGCGAAAAATGTATGAGTGCTTTGCAATACAGATCCCAATGCATAAAATTGGTGCCATAAAACTGATTTAACCGTTTCAACTACAAAGATTACACAGGCTATAAACCTAAATTATTTAATACTTCCGTTCAATTACAACCAGTCTGATGAATGAAAATGTTTTAATGAAATTACTACTATGCGAAACAATTTTATCATTTAACGATTGTTTAACTCGCGTTGTGTTATTTCCTGTCTTTTTGAGTATGTCATGGCAACTCAAAGAGTTGCAAACAAACATTTCATGTGAGTAGGTGTAGATTGAAAGACTTTTGCGAGTTGTCTTATGTCTATATTCCTTCATTTTGAATATGTAACAGTAAAATACTTTTAGCTTCTATTATTCCCCAGTGATTATTTATAGTATCAAAAAATCAATATCTAATACTTCCGCTGATTTCCGCACACGTGGAAAATCTATCGCATTCATATCTGTTCACCAGATTTAACTTCAGTCAACCATTTCCTGATTGAAGATAAACTATCAGGTAAAAGCTTCTGAAGTAGGCACCGATCATGAATATTCTTCGTGATAAAATCATGATTACGGCAGTGCGTAAAACAGAGAAAAATACGTCAGATATTACGCGAATCATAATTCGATAGATATCTGCTAAAATTAGCCCATTCCGACAAAACTCATTTTGTAATTCTGTGTATAATAATGCAAACAATTCAGCGTAGAGTTCGACGAATGGTTCAAATCAATAAATACGCCACAGATAAGTATTTCGGATCATCTCAATCAGCGAAATTAATTTTTTCGAAGCACGTGTCCGATTGTACTGAAATTCTTTAATTAAAAATTCAGTTTGTCTTCTGTTAAGTCCGCGTGATACATTTTATAAAATTCACGTGAAAGTTCGGTACCCTTTTTTTTGTTCAATTGAAATTTGGGATTTTGTTACAGTTCATTGTCAATTTTTAGTCGTCGAAAAGATTTGTCTCCATTCCTCGTCAATTCTGAGGAAATTATAACAAAAAGTTTCGCTTGATTTAGAAATAATTAAATTAAAATAATTAATAGAAATTATAATATGTATTCGATTTATTTTAAAATTTATATATGAGATTTAAAAATGAATAGATCTTTGTAGATGTGAGGTATTCTGGGTATTGAGGACAACATAAGTCAAAACAGCCCGTTCATTCTTTTTTTAATGAATTTATTACTTAAATATTATTTGTTATTTTAATATTCCTTTTTCTTGAAAATTCAAGACCCGTTTTTCTCTTTCTACATACCTACTTTTATGACCAGATCTTTTCATGTCTTATTATCACTTATTTATTATTAGCAGAAGCCGCTAAAATTAAATTTAACGGAATTAGACGACCTTGCATGGATCTCTGGATTTCTTTGATTATATCATATTTATCCACTTCATCCTGCCGGCGTCTTATTAACAACACTATTAATAGGCTGCTGTTCGCCGTACCATAATTTGTCAACGCACCCGTGGGAAATATTTTAGGAACCCAGCGTCCGTTTTGGCAATCCGAATGGTCGTAAATAAAAAAATTGGCGCCAGAGGAACAGAAACAGGTCCTTCGAAGCCGGCGTAATTTTTTATTTGACGTTTACGGTGTTTTCGTCGTGGAAAATCTCCGTTGTTCGATTATTTTTATATGCGCCGGCATGTGTTTTGAGTCGAAAGAGTCTGTACCTGCATAAAGTCGTGTTTAATTATTTTTAGGCATTATTTTTAGCGGGCGGATAATTCTTTAACATCACTCGACGGCTCGCTTGTTAACGGGGACTGTCGGCAAGTGACGGAAAGATAAATCACGCTAATTTAGATTCATTATTAAAAGTCACATTAGTTTGATAACACTTCCTCTCCCAAGTTCTTCTCCTTTGTAAGCTTTCCTTTATGAAGTAGGTATGTGAAAGAAAACCGATATTTTTTAAAATATGCTTAATAATTCAGATAGTTTTACTTTAAATTGATGATTTTGGAAAAAAACTGCTATGCGGACTAATATCTCGAACGGCTAATGCCTCTCGTCAGCCATACCACCAGACATATACCGTTTCGAACTTACGATTCATCTCAATATCAGTCTGTCAATTAAAGCCCTATATATAATTTATATTAGTATAATTTTAAGTCTACATTACTAAGACGACTATGTTAGGTAAAGTTATATTATAATATCTAGTAACACAGTAATAGGAGCTGCGGTTGTCAGCGATTTAGCTGGTGATTCGAATCCTGCTACAGATCAATTTTTTAGTCATTACAGTAAAACAATAATACGTTTGTGGTTGTAAAGCAGCGGTCTCGAACAATCCATGACTGTGTGAAAACAATCGAATAGCGTCTTATTAAAACGTTCGCGACGACACAGTGGATCCTATCGCCCACTTTGGGCGCCTGCTGCGTCTCGCTAGGATCAGAAATAGCCTCGTTGGAATGCCGGTCTCCCATTCCAAGACGTTTCGATGCCGAAACAAAACCACTACGCCTAGCGCTCCGTATGCCGGATTAAATCACCGTGGCTATGAAAATAAGAGTGAATAAATCACGGGCATTAGCCGGGAAATGCGGAAGTGGCACATTAAGGCATCGTTCGGAGCTGGCGGTTTCATTTGTTTTTTTTTTTTTGTAAAAGTCACAGGAAGCGGACACAGTGATTTTTAGTTGTTTGTGTAGAATTGTTTGAACCCTTGCTTTATTCCTTTCATCGTTTATTATTATCTACATTCGTTTATATAACAGTTTATATAGAACAGACATTTTTGTTACTAGTATTTTAGTGCCACCGATAGATGTCAGCGTATTTAGCTCACCAACAATAGTTCAGTAGTGTGTAACAAGAGATCTGGAAAAGTATCTGCAGCTTCGCAGATTAAAGTTGTAAAATGTACTTTTTTTAATGAAACTGAATGTAGGTTACGGGAAATTAAATAAGCCGTTATCCCAAGTCCCAATGTAGTATTAAGGAAATTCTTTTGATGCTGTTTCACCTACGAACTTTCCGTATCGTTTAAATTTCAAATGAAACACCGCAAATTAAATAACATCGATCGAAGTTCATCTCTCAGTCAGTGAATATTGACGTGTGGGTCGACTGTTATCTGGGCTAAATTGATTTTAGCCGTGTAATAGGAAAATTATAATTGTTTATACGTAAACAACGCGGGTGAGCGCACAGCTACACTTAACCGCCTACTTATGCATGTGTAATCATAACAATAATTTAGGTCTCTATAAATATTAATGAAGGTGAGGCGTTTTCTGGAGGAGGAAAACATCTAGAAATGGAGAAAATATACTTTGCAGATGATATACTAGGCTTATTGTTTGAAAGGGCGTGTTTTCACCAGCGCCTTCACCAAAATTTTAAATGTATGAAAATGATAAAAATTAATGGTCGTATTTTTTTAATAAGAATTATGTCTATAATTAATTATGGTATATTAAAATGGTAACCTAATAAGAATTAATATATTTTGGATGTTGCGATAAAATAATAGTGTTCAAATAGAAAATGTGAACAGCTTTTTCTTTATTTTTTTTTTAATCGAGGCCAAATAAGTCATAACATATTCCTTTGAGTTGTGTCTATTCCATATTTAATACAACATATAGTATTTCTACTAAAATAAAAGTAAAGACATCGTTTTAAAAACTTAAACAAATAGGATGATTTCAGGCATCAGCCTATACAGGGTGTTAGAAGTTTGACTGCCTTCATTTTAACAGACGATAGAATACATTAAAATAAACAAAAAACCTTATATGACATGGGTCCTAAACTCAACCATTTCCGAGAAAAAAATTATCAAAATCTCCAACTTGGTGTACAAAAGTTCGATTAATTAAGGAATATTGACATAAATAATTAGCGTTGTAATAAATTTAAAATTCGATAAAATTCATATCGAGCAATGTGACAACACGTGATTAACACGAGGTTCTGTGACGAGGTACTAAGCTGTCCTGCAATACGCAATTGAATTGGTATCTGGAATTGAACCGTGTCTGAGTGTTTTTGCGTACCAGTATTTTCTTTTCTTGAGGTTTTTTCCAGCGAGTGCGCGAAAATTGGACTCGAAGTTGTCGTGTGTGCATCGAAAATGGTGGTGCTAATTTTATGCATATGTTGTAGTTTGTTTTGCACTTGCGCGTTTAAAAATTACTGAATTTTGCTTTTTGGTAAGTATCTAATATTTTTAATACATATGATTATTTGGACGACTAGAATGTTTGGGTACTTTAGTTACACATTTTTCAAATTCATAATTTGATTAAAAGTTAAGTTTCTGTTTTAAGAGATTCATAATTACTACAATTCGAGCTAAAATATAAGCACAACACTATCTTCGTCCTACAAAATCGATACATTTTATTTTATTTATTTAGAAACTGGAAAACAATTGTCTTGAAATTTACTAAATGTTTCACAATAATAGTTGTTTACATTATTTCCGTAACATTCTGTGTAACAGTAGGTTAAGCGCTGTTGTCACGTTGTGATGAAACTCCCCAATATTAATACTCGCTAGATTTTGAAAACTGTTAATATTACGTCCCTGTAATGTTCAACTTTTTTGTTCGTTTATGATTACTCTATCTCGTGTTGAAGTAATGGCAGTCAAACTTCTTACACCCTGTATATCTAGAATATTAAGTTTAGCTTTATAGCTAAATTTTTTCGTAAGATATCTCGGAAAGTGTAAAGGTTATTTTCCTAGCGCAAGGTTAATCTGATTTTAATGATATTTAATAGAAATTACAATAACGAATGTATACTTCGAATTTCTTTTTTTAACAGTTTGTTTTTAAATTAATATCTCTCAATTATTAATTGAGACAACCAAATTAAAGTGCAACCAATTTATTATAAAAGTTTAAAAAGAACAAAATAACAAATAAGTACAAGGAATATTATCACTGGACACAAACGGCTTCATATCGATGACTAATATTTGAAATAAGACGTTTATCTTTTTCCGTATTTCTCCGGATATGTTCTCAGTTTTCCCTAAAGAGACAGGTAGGGGTTGATGGTTATCTACTCATATTATCAGTAATTTCTCTATTTTTATTACTATTTACGTATTTAATTTTAAAATTTTGGAATAAAATGAATAACGTATCTCAATTAATAAAAGACGCATGACTCAAAAACTAATTATTCAGGAAAAATGACATTGCCATATGATTCTGTCACACATTTGCTATTTTAGCTTGCGAATTCTATGACTGTTTCGAGAAAAAAGCTTTTTTGGTGTAGTTTAGTCAGTATCAAGTCTTGCAAAATTAAATTTCCGTTCAACATTCTTTGAAATTAAATTAAAATTATTATCATTCTTAGCTCTCATAGTAAATTACTTTATATAAAAAATATTTAGAAAATTGTTTTATTAATACTGCCTAAAGTATCTGTATGCACAAAAATTATATTATCTACAGGGCCTTCCCTAATTCATCTGTCAAACAGGGAGTTTCTTGGTCAAAATTAATATAAAATATTCAAATGAGCTAGGGGTCTATTGTGATCCTTTACGAGAATATAAAAGCTTGGACATGACCTATTGACAATGGTTGTTTTAAATACTTACCTTCTATTAAATATCTATCTTCTAAACCAGTTAAACCAGTCAGTACTAAATTTGGTTCACGTATTGGTAACTCGTATTTAGAATGATAAAAAATTGGGTTTAATAGATGGTAGAACCCCTTTTTTATAATAAAGAAAAATGTAAATTTTTTTGGAACATGCAAATTTAACCATAAATATTTCTAAACATCAAAGGTGACTATTTAAGATGTAATAGGTTCTATGCATTTGTATATATTTCTTGTTAATGACTCAGTTTAATAGTACAGTAAATTTTATATTTCTATTTATTTATTTTTTATTCTTGTTTTAATTTTATGATGACCACCAATTCATTGGAGATCTTAAATAGTTGTACTTAGTGTTTAGAAACATTTATTTCTATGTGACAATATACATCACAGCTCTGTTTGATGTATTTTCATTAGTAATAAATAATTGGTGGTCATTTTCAAGCCACTATGTTTTCGTAAGGGGACGGAATTGATTCTATATTCATTCAATTCAACAAAGATTTTGATAATAAGATTTATATTTATCTAAATCTTCACTTTTATGTTTTAAGTTTTAAGTATGACATTACATTTAACACATAAGAGGACTATAAGATGTAAACAACCATTGTTGGTTAATATTTACATTTTTTGTAGGATTTTGCAAATTGCAATATACATTGTCTGAAAATACATTTAGGAAAACAGCTACATTTGGTTTTTTTTTCTATGAAACTATATTACTTGTGCTCTCAACAGATATTTGAATTTAAAATATTTAAATAATAAAATTCACAATTTCTATGAGTTATCAGATTTTTTATCTTAGATATTATGCTTATAACGTACGTATTGCAGTGGTTATCCAACAAAATTTGCAAAGCAAAATACACCTCACTAGCGGCCACAAATCTAGTACTTACATTAATGAAGTCAGTGAAAAACCCACTGGGCACTCTACACAACAGAATTTTTAAGCTTTGAACGGAACAGTCCCTTCACAGAAAAAAAAATACGCAAAATTTGTCAACGCGCGGCACAGCTGATGTCGTAACCTGTGGTTCTGGTGGTGGTTGGCTAGGATGGCGAAAGCGAGCCTACTGAATGGATCAGCGTCGCGACGCCGATGTATATATTAACTCGCATCGCCATGGAAACGTGAGATAGCGTCCCCTGTGTTGCATGTTGGCAAACATGTGTCAAGGTAAGCGGTCTATCCACATGGAAACGCTGGCGTTCCTCATATCTGACCAGAACCATATGGCCTGTGTGCATGGTATTTCATTAATGGATCTTAACTGTCAGCGAGCTGAGTCAGATTACTAGACGGAAGGGACTAGGATAATATGAATGGAGCAGTATCTGTTAGGCAAGCTTTTTGCGAGCTGACAAAGAAGAGGAAACAGACGTCGAACATTAAACTAAGGTGCCTGCTCCAATTGAAGTCATTTTAAGCATTGAGTCATTATATAATTATTAGAATATTCTTCAGGAATGACGCATGTATTTTTGATAGATTTATTTTATTACAAGGCCTTATTTGGTAGAGGTATCTTATACGAAGAACATAATAAAATAATATAATCATTTATTTCAAACAGGTTTAACTTAACACAGAAAATTCTTAAAAATCACTAAATATACTCTTAAAATTATTGTACATGATACAAATAGGTGTTCGAATAAGCGCCAAGTGGTCTTTTGAGCATCAACTATAAGTATTATGTGTTCTACCTTTTAATCTAGCTACTACAATCACTTCCATTTTGCCAAAATATATACAAAATTGTATACAATATAAATCGCCTGAACTCTAGTGATAATACCTCAAATCTATTTAAAAGCATTGAATTTTCTATATCTTGATGAGGATAAGTATCATCTGCTTTAAAAGCAGATGATACTTATTACAATATTAAATGCCCCTGTTCTAGTTTAGATCTTAAATATTAATAATGATTTCTAAGTATTTAAGTATTTAAAATTTTGCGATTACATAAATATAACAAAACCTAGTTGTTTAAATGCCATCGGCACTGTATGTTTAATAGGATGCATCCTGTCGCCAAAATAAAAAGCTTTGGATTTCAACGAGTTTAATTTAAGATGATTTGAAATACATATAAACAATTTGATTTATGATATGCCTTCTGTAGAATTAGGCAATACTCTCTTGAAGTTACATTACCAAATATTTTAAAATCATTGAAAGCTAACATTGGAGAAGTAATGCTGGTTGTAAGATCGGTCATTTGTGAATAAGAACAGAAAAGCATCCAAATTTGAGCCTTGCGGTACCCCAGAATTCACTATATTTTGACCCCCCTTTAACTTTTTTGTTTTAAGAGTTACAAAAGAATGTGAAATATAAAAGTTGCACGATATTTTATGAAAATGATAGTAGAAAAACAAATGAAATCCAAACAAAATGGCCGCGGATGTTAACTTTGTTAATTTAAATGGAACTCCCTATATATTTTTACACATTTGGATAGAACGTTCCCTGTCGAGCATAGTCATATAGGGTTTGTTGGGTCCATCTCTAACAATAAGCGAGATACTATTAAAAACGAAAAGAAGATTTATTATTAAGAAAACAAGATATCTTGTAATTGTTAGACCTCTTTCAGGCATTTCTGCCTTTTTCCAATTACGTAAGGATTTACAGATTTAGTTATAATATATTTTGATATATCGGACATTGATACGGTCCAAAATGCGTATAGGTAATTTAACAAATCTCACTAATTAGGGCGTGAGAGGCCTAATTGCTCATGGACAATCTTATATGGTAGGTCGTGACAGTGACAGGTAGTAATGTCATGACAGCATTGTTATTGATTGCCGGTTTGTATTATTATTGAATTAAAATAGGTTACACAGAAGTAGAAAATTGAAATATTATTTAGAATTAAAATAGAGTATGGGCAAGAACTTTATTTTAATTCCTATAATATTTCAATTTTCTACTTCGGTGTAACCCATTTTAATTAAATAATAATACGAAATGTCAAACAATAGCAATGTTGTCATGACATTACCTGTCACTGTCACGACCTACCAAATAGCATTGTCCATTTGTAATTAGGCCTCTCGCGGCCTAATTAGTGAGATTTAGTTAAAATACCTATACGCATTTTAGACCATATCAATGTGCCAATAAAGTAGACTTTTCTGCTTATATTTGTGTAACAGATGAGGCGACATTTACCAGTGATGAAGTGAATTTCCATAATATGCACATATGGGCCGACGAAAATCCTCACGCGATTAGGGAAACTCATTTTCAACATCGGCTCTCGGTAAATATTTGAGCTGGCATAATAGGCGATGTACTTGTGGGTCCCTATTTCTTTGAAGGACGACTAAATGGACCGACATATGCTGACTTTTTTTAGTTTTTTGGTCCTGTGCCGTGGCCACCTCGGTCACCCAATCTAACTACAATGAACTTTTATCTTTGGAGTCACTTGAAGTCATTAGTATACAATACTCCAATTGCTACGGTGGAAGAATTACGAAACCGTAATTTGCATTGAAAAATTCCCCAAAAACTGAGAAGTATCTTTTTATCTTTCAACGACGATTTGATTACGCGGCTGGTCTACAGCACGTAACTCATCGTACCGCACACGGACATGACCGTTCCAGAGAAAATATTTTGATCCATAAATTAATAAACTTTAATTTACGAAAAAAAAAAACGCAAAAATAGAACTTTTTCGTATAAGACTTCTATTACAAATATCGTTAGGAAGCTGTAGTTTAAATTTTATAGATTATACACCCCACACCCTGTATTAGACGCTGGATATCAATATCCGATCTGTCAAAATATATTACAACTAAATCTGTAAATCCTTGCGTAATTGGATAAAAAGCAGAAATGTTTGAAAGAGGTCTAACAGTTACAAGAATTTATGACTATGCTTAACAGGGAATGTTCTATCCAAATACACAAGTAAAAATATACATTATTTATTAACAAAGATAACATCCGCGGCCATTTTGTTTGGACTTAATTTGTTTATCTACTATTATTTTCTTCACAAAAAATCGTGCAACTTTTGTATTTCACATTTTTGATAACTTTAAAAACAAAAAAGTTAATGGGGAGTCAAAATATAGTGAATCACCCTGTACCTTATCTGCTTGATAAGAATTCAATACAATTTGCAAGAAGCTTCGTTCCAGATGGAAATTTATTTTAAATTTTTACTTCATTATGAGTTACTGATTATAGAATTAGTATTATTATTATTAAGGACTCATAATAATTTTAGCTTCCTTGTTTAAGTTATACAATTATAAATCATTTTAAGATATGATATATGCACCTACAAGTAATATGAATACATTTTCCAATGTGAATCCTAAAAATGAGAGATGGACAATCAACATCATGAACATCAAGAACGTTGTCTTCATTGCAAAAATACTGTATTGGTCATCTAAATTCGGCTTCACAATTTCACTATGCTTACTTATGCTTCACAGTTTCAATATATTCACTATATTTCACAGCGTAAATGCAACGGCTACAGTTTTAGCAGGATTAATTTGTATGGTAGGTCCGAAATGTCACTATTTAATGAAAAGGTTGTTAATGGAATATCTATTAAGTGAAACTAGCGATTTTACAGTATTTTAGATATCATTTGAATATAATGAAACGACAAGCGGTCCAATAATTTAACCCTCTAACTCCGTTAGACTTCCATAGCGACATAATTCCCAAGAGGCTATTTTTATAATCTGGCTTCTGCTTATCAGATAACATTTAAAATATTTTAAGACAAAATCTTCTTCTAAGTGTATTGATTTGAGAATAGTTTAAAGTAAATTATGACTCAAGAGTGTCAATTGCTTTAGGGAAGTAAATTAATGCAAATACTGTCAAATTATTCCCAGGTGTAACGTAACCAAGCTGTTTCTCATCTATAATGTGGCCTAAGACGTTATTATATCTTCCAAATAAAAAAAAATTTATTTGTGAACTATTATCTGCGCGTCCATTATTTCCAAAATTTTAGAAATAGCCGACAGAGAGAAGGTTTTGTACTGAAGAAGAGAGTTAATCTTAGTTAACGGATTTACTTTCCACTGACTGGAAAGAGGTCATAATACTATTCACTCATTAATTAAATGTGTATATCGAACGGTAAATTTAGGTATCTAGATCAATTAAGGTCATACTGAGTTATTAGTAAATTTGTGTAAAAAGAAGCTTGGTTTTCGATAGACGATTATTTTCTTATTATTAGGAACTTGACCTTATTTCCACAGATATCCATTCGATTTAGTAGGTATTCGGTTGAAGAAGGTGGTCTGCTTTATATTTTGGTAAGGTGTTATGTAACTGTGCTAGGGAAATCTTTTAAACTAGGTCACTGTTCACGGTCAAATGTGACTGCTAATACCGATGTCTAAAAGATGAATGGGAAATAGTTGCTATATTTTGTAACAATTTTTCTATCTATATGCCACTTTACGTTAAAAATTCAAAGTAAACTGTTACAGTGCAAATTATTAATTATTTTTTTTAAATATCTTCTCTAGGTGTATACATACATGCTTTGTATAAGGGGTACATTCCAAAGGAAATAGGACTTTTCAAAAGTATGTATTTCTAATGCGCCCATCTATTTCATTTCAATTTGTCGGAATCGGCAATTTCATTTATCGGAAAGGTAGATCCTTTACTGGCATAATTTCATCACATTCGGACGAACAGAAGTGGAGTTATTGCGTCTGAAGCAGTATATTTTTGTCATTGGTACAAAAATGACCATCAAATATTAAGTTTTGTCTTAAACTTAGTAAAACTTATACCGAAACGTTTCGTTTGATGAACCAAGTTTATGGCGATGATTGTTTATCCCGTGTCAGAGTTTATGTTTTAAAAACGGTCGTGCGGATATAAATGATGAGCAACATGTTGGCCAACCGGAATCCATGATCACAACAGATTCCATCAAAACTGTGCGTGAATTCATCAAAGATCAGCCAAAATCTTCATTGAAATTCATGGAATTGGAACTGAGCATCCCAAAAACATGAATTTATCTCATTTTGACCGAACCTTTGGGC